CAAATAAGTTCAATTTATAATAGCTAAAAATGAGGAACAACTAAATGGTTAGTGAATTTAAAAACAGAGTGTGGGGAAAATTCATACATTGTGTACCAATTTGCTAACTAGCATTCTAAACATGAGAATATGAAAATAACATCAAATTTTGAAAAGAGTGTGCTAAGTAGAAGCTAGATACAAAGAAGTTACACTATGTAATTCTGTTTCCATCAAAGTCTACAACTGGCAAGCCAATGTATGATGACAAAAAGCTGAACAGTTTTTTATGAGGGCATTTTGTGAGTGATGGAAATGTCTTATATGTTTATTGTGCTAGAGGTTACACAGGTATAGACATCTCAACTGTACAATTAAAATGAGAGTATTAAAAAATTCTAATGACCAAATATCACTTACAGCAACAATTCATCATTTTAGTGACAAACCCATTATGATGATTAATACATTCTGCTTTGAGAGACCTTGCTTACAAAGTGTAGAGAAAAACACACTTTGAACAGTGCCAAAGTTTTCTTCTAAATCTGTGTCCATTACATTTCCAGTGGGTCAAGTGTGCATCCTAAGATAGAGTGTAAGCTTCCCTTCCTTAACAAGCAAAAGAGACCTTGTGCTGCCTCAGGAGTTCATCTTTCACATCCATTCCAATAATGTCATCTTGTGATAAGTTGTTAAGAAGGTCATCTTTTGTGAATCTATCTGTAATAAGAAGAATTTGAAGAAATGGCATTAGAGTTCCACTTCTAGAATAGGCATTTTTGAAATTGAGGACTTTCAAGTATAGAGATCTGATTTCTCAGGTAAAAATTGTGGACTACATTCTTTGTGATAGGAACAGAAAATCTACCTTCTTACCTCAAATTTACAACTTCACAACTTCAAGTAAATCCTTTCTAGTCCTTAGTGTCCTAGTCATAACTGAGGGGTTTGGCAGAGAAATTTCCCTTTGTCTGGCTCAAAAGTTCAATGAAAAATAGATTAAGGTGACATAGTTCAGAAGTCTCTTGCACCTATATTCTTCTTCAAGGAACAAGTCAACACTTAATTTACACAATTTGTTCCTTCAAACAGTTTTTAAAACACGTATATATCTAAAAAAGGAAACATCATTGAGTTTTCTACCCAGAGAGAATTTAACATTTTCACAAATACAACTGAATTTATACATATATGCAATTATGTATTCTTTGCTCATAGTAATATATTGCAATGAGAACGTATTTATATATATATATATACTATATATTATAGTACACATATATACAGAATATGTTCATATATATATATGTATATATTCATGCACATATACATAGTCCATGTATAGAGAGGGAGAAAGAGAAAGATCTTAAATCACTTAGTCTTTCCCTAGTTGTCGGGATCTAAGCTTATTTCCATTTATTTTAGTGCTCTGATAAATATGAGTATTAATGGCACATCTGTATGTGTTTGAGCAAGGGACATAAACCAATATCTTGCCTTATTTCCAATTATGTGTTTGTGGTAGAGTGCTGTCATTGGATTTGCTTGTCAAAAGTTATGTATTTGCATAAGGTAGTACATATTGTTAAGTCTCTTTTCAGAACATCTAGTCAGTCTATAATATACTGTGCTCATCTCATCACACTCTTTAGCGATTTACACATTTTAAATCTTTGATGAACTGCTTTTGATATTTCTGTTTTCATCTATGTATCTATTTAAGGCTGTTTCATATACATTGCCTATTGACATTTTTCTGTGACTATATTTCTGTTGAGAATTTTAGGGTTTTTAGCTTTGTTTTACAAATGCTTATGGTATTTTCTTTTTCAGTCATGTTTGTAGTATGTGTTACTTATTTTTCAATTTTATTTACAGCGTTCTTTATTACTAAATTTATTTTATGCAGTGAAATTTATTGATCTTATTGTTTGTAAAGAGACTTCTGGTTCTCGTTTGTAGACATGGCTCAAATATGATCATCAATTCTTTGTGATTATTGTGTTGCAGTTTTAGAATTGCTTTCCCTAGTGCTTAGACTTGGATTCCAGGTCTTACTGAACTGACTTGTTAAATTATAACCTAGAAAAATGTTTCCTTTATATGACACTCACATTTGTTTTTGGGAGGTGAGCAATTAAAATCATTTTTCTGTAATTAGAGTTCATCAAAACAATGTTTTCATATTTTCAGGATGTAAACACATGTTTCCTTTGAATTCTCATTCTGAAATATGAAATGGTTGTTTGGTAATACTTAGACTCAGAGTCGGAATTGTTTTGGAAAAATCTTGGGATGTTTTAGTCAGTATTCACAGAGTTTAGATAAGCATCAGAGAGGAAAATTGTTGAACTGATGCTATTAAATGTCAGACATCTTCTGTACTAGATGATATATCTTAGGACTTATTCTTTGACAAGGTGACTTTAGAGTTAGGTTGTCATTTCTTATTCTACCCTCACTAATTCACTACCCCTGACAAGTTAAACTTGACATCACAGAATTTCCTCTAGTTAGAAAGAAAATTTGAAGTTTGAAATTTTCACAGTTAGCAAAAGAATTATACTAATGTTGTAGGAAGGCCATTGCATTTTGGAACTTTTTCACTGCTTGCTGAAATACTCACCTCTGTTAGTAATTTATATGGAAATATTTTCAAAGTTTTTTTGTCATAAGTAAAGCTTAGTTATCAGGTAAATGTCTGTAAATAAAAATCACAAAAACTTTTTAAGTTTTTCTCTTTCCCCAAATTCAACTTGGTAGGTCTATGTATATATAACATAGGGCTTCCAGTTTCTGAGCAAAATTACCTGAGTTATATCGTTTCATTTAGACAGATATACCCAGCAATAGAAGGCTTTTCAGCTAAAGATGATGGAAGACAAATGAAAAGGCTAAAGCATGTCAGAAGTATTGGAACTAGTGTCAGGATTCTTCAAAGAGAAAATTACAAAACTGTAGGTCAGGCTGCTGTGGTGGTATAGAAAATAAAAACAATAGGTAAAGATGTCAGGAAGCAAGAGATGAGGATTACAGGTGACACAAGTGTCAGTAAAAAGTAGTAGTTCTAGAAAGTTGAGATGTTGTTAGAAATGAGTGTGGTAAGGTACTGGTAGTTTTTGTCTTACAGGAGCATGCAAGAAGAGAAAAGAAAGAAAGTGATCAGTTTTTCTTCTTCTTCTTCTTCTTCTTCTTCTTCTTCTTCTTCTTTTTTTTTTTTTTTTGTGTTTTCACATCAGGGCCAGTGATGATCTAAAATGGTAAAAGAGTACCCTCCTACCCTGACAGCTCCCTACATAAGCTTATGCAGCTTCTTTTTGTAGGGGGGATAGAATCCCATAGTAGTCCTCTCATAGCCTCAAGTGAACATTAAATAGTTTTCTTTTTTTGAAAGACATCAGTAATTATTTTAATATTTTTTAAATCAAATTTTATACTGGGTATAGGGCTTGAAAACTAGTATATATCCACTAAATGCCAGGTAGTATGCCTTAAATAGAGAGACTGAAGTACTTTGGAGTATCTGGCAGCCTAAACACATAGATATAACAGATGGTATTACAGAGGGCAAAGCAACTGTTGGGGGATTAAGAAGGGAAGCCTGTGACACACTGAGCATAAGGAGATCTGGATAGAGTGTTTAGGAACACCACCTGGAGTATACCTGCTGGGGCAGGAGTTGGAGTAGGCAGCTGAAAAACAGAAAATATTTACTATGGGCAGGAGATGAGATTTTTTTTTTTTTAAGTTTATCTTAGGTATAAACTAATGGCAGATAAATTTGAGGGAGAATATACAAACCAGATTATGAATACCTTTTCATCTTGAAAATATGAGAACTGTAGAAGTGCAGTGATCCAGAAGTGATGTTGTTAGCTTTGCATTTTTAGAAAGAGGGTTCTCTCCACAGTGAGGAGTATGGCCTAGAAGAATAGATTGTAGAAAGGAATTCCATTGGTGGTTTTACTGACCTCAAGGAGCAAGAGAAAGATCTAAAATAAGGCAGTATAGGAAAGAAGACAGAGTGGATATTTTAGGAGAATGGAGGAAACAGAATTTTGTGTCTGAATTTATGTAGCAGTGATTGAGGGGAGAAAACAAGTTAAAATTAATCCTAAATTTCTGGTGTACTAAGAGGAGAACTGTGGTGGTAGTAGTTTGATATGGGAAGAGTGAGAGGTTTGGCATGCCTGTTGAAGGTGAAGGTATCCCAAAATAGTATTAGTATTAAGTTTTATTACTTATTAATGTGTGTTATATTCTGGTCTAGGTAATATTATTTTCGTCATTTCACTGATGATGAAACTGAAAACTTTTCTAAAGTTACAAAGGAAGTAAGGGGTAGAGCTAAAATTCAAAACTTGGGGAGTCTGATTGCAGTTTCCACTCCTAACCACTCTGTGGTCTTGTTTTTTTTAGAAAGATCTGATTTGGGAGGGGCAGTTACAGCCCACAGATGGGGATTTGGGAATTACTGATCTGCATAAAGAGGACTGAAACCACTGGCCTGAGTGACATGTCCCTTGGGGGGTCCATGGAATTTGTGTGGGTGCTGAGGTTATGCATACTGTTGTTACTCAGAAAGAGGAAATTAGCTTGGAACAGCAAAATCAGTGACCAGAAAGGTAGAAGGAAAATTCAAAATGAATTGTGCCATAAACCAAGTCAAATGCTAATTTTCTTTTAGAAATGAAGTAATTAACAATTCTATTTTTTTTAAAAAAACAGCAGAAACTACCTGTTAGAAGTCACTGGTAGTATTTGCCATTTGTTTTGGTTTAGCTATTTAGAGACAAAATGTAAGAGTGGAGACTGTAAATTAGAAGAACGTCCTCTGTTCCAGGGGGAGATGTGGCTGTCAGGCAGAGAAGGACTTAGTGGCAGCAAGTTGTAGGCAGAAGGTAATGGAAGGGTTTTTCTTACAGTGGTGAGACAGGATCGCATTTATGTGGATTTAAGGATAATGTGTTTGGAAGTGATTTTAAAAAATTATAATTTGAAATGCTTTTTAAACTTTACAGAACATTATACATCCATGGGCATACCAAGTTGGATTTCACAGTCTGGCATACTGCAATTGAAAAAGCAGCAGGTACAGATGGTAATGCATTACAAGATCAGCAGCTCAGCAAAAATGACGTTCCCATTATTGTGAACAGCTGTATAGCATTTGTTACACAGTATGGTATGTATCACAGAGTTTTTATTCAACTCCTAGAACTCATACTATCACTCTTACAGTTTCTAAGTGGTGTTGCCATTGGAGTGAATTAATGCCCTTTGCATTTGTAAGTATACCAGTGAAAAATAAAAGTATAGTCACTGTTCAGATCACTGCCATTCCTTTCTCCCAGAAAACCTCATTTAAGCTGTATAATACCTTTTTACTATTGCCTTTGTCCTTTATATGCATAAAATAACATACTGAAATATATTATAAAATGCATATAAAAATAGTAAAGACTTTATTTTTTAGAGGTTACAAGTCTAGAATAAAGCTAAGAGTAACTCAACATGCCTAAGCTTTGTTTTAGAAATAATAAACTAAAGAACAATATGTAGAAGAATGTGTGTGGTAAGAAGCATGCATATTAGCTTTGGCTTCTTTGCAACACACTTTTAAAAACAAGTTGTACTATATTTTAAATTAGTATACATCAGTAACATGAGGGGATTTCATTATGGTAGTTCATACATGTGTACAGTGTACTCTGAGCAAGTTTATTCCCTCCATTATGTTTTAGTTCCCCTTTCTTCCCCACCTTTCATACAGTGTTTGATGGGTTTCATTATGCTGATTCAGTCTTCTCTTCCCTCCTTAGTGTCCTTTTCTTTCCTATCCTTTCCCTTCTTATTTGTCTCCTCTTAGACTGTCCCCCTTTCACATTCCTATCCCTTTGTTATTTTTATAATCATCATAAATATCATTATCATTTAAGGTGTAGGTTCCACAAATGAGCAAGAACATGTAATATTTATCTTTTTTGAGCCTGGCTTTTTTCACTTACCATGATGATCTCCAGTTCCATCCATTTTCCAGCAAATGGCATAATTCAGTTTTTCTTTGTGGCTGATTAATATTCCATGGAGTGTGCATGCATGTGTGTGTGCATGCTTGTGTATACTGTATTTTCTTTATCCATTCATCATTTGTACACAGGCACTTTTATGAATAGTTAGCAAGTAAAAGCAACTTGGTCTGTACCTACATGGTACAGCTTCATTTTAATTCCATATACTATGTGGATATTTTAAGCATGCCTGAAAAGTAAATATTTATTTATTTATTTCAATTTTCACGTTTATTTTCAAATTATGAATTCTTCAAATTCATTCTTAGTTACATATACCTTTCATATTTCTAAAAGTTTGAACTTCCTAATCATATTTTAAATATAAAAATATTTTCCACCTTTTAGCCATTTATTTAGATTGGGAATACGAGAATGAAAAAACATGATCTGGTATTTCTTAATATTGTGTTTTTTTCTTAATATTAGTGATGTCTTTGGGTCTTTCACTTTGAAAAGAAGACATAATTAGTGAAAAAGCAATGGTTGAAAAAAAATCATGTTTTAGAAACACTGCAGTTGGAGTAAAAGTTAGATCCAGAGTGTGGCTCATGTGTTGTAGTATGGGGCACTGACAACATGCTAATACATAACAAAATGTCAGAAATAACTGGTATGTGGATGAAAATAATTTTTAAAAATTAAATTCATGATATGAATATTTTAATCTCTTTTCTTCCAGGGAGATTGCCATTTGAAGTATTTACTTCAAATATAATCTAAGTCAGTTATTATTAATATCCAGATTCATTGTGTTTGTATTACATATCTACTGAAAATATGTACATGAACACCCATGTGTCCCTTAAAGATAGGTAGTTTTTGGTATGAAATACATTTATTATTTTTCTTATCAGCTGTAGTCACATTTATTTGAAAACGGGTGAAGTAGAAGCTTATCTTCATTTATTAAAGTCATCCTGTATTAGTGTACCTGTAATTCACAGGTATAAATGACTTGCACACATATTATGTTTTAGCAAGAGCATAACCTCATTGGAAATTTTCACACATCATGTTAGCTTAGTAATGGCATTGGGTCTTTTTGATTAATGATTAAAATAATTTGACTAGCTCCAGTGTAGCCAATTCATTATTTCTCTAGGGAAATCAGAAGTTTCCTTGTGATGTTTATTTGAGTTTAAAAATCATCAAGCATTAGATTGTTTTAAACTAAATCTCATGCATTATAAGTACTTTGTAGTTCTAACACAAGGTGTATTAATTTGTACATTAATAAAGCCAAAAAAGATTATTTTATGAGTAGAGCATGGGATAAAACCTCAAAATTAATAGCATGTATAACAAGAAAGATTTGATAGAAATTTAGAAATTTTCCAGTGATTACAGAATCGTGGAGAGTCTTTATGGTACCAGTTATATATCTGATCCGTGGGTTAAAATCCAAAGACCAGTTATCTGTGCTTTTCATGTCAAGGTTTGAACTTGACTAAGAACATAATATAGTTTTTAAGGTTTTAATTTTTTATGAAGCATAGCATTTAGTTCTTGAGGGAAGTTATTTTGATTTGTGTAAACAAAATTGTGTTCAAATTTTTATTCAGTTTACTAAACTTACTTCTGTGCCAGCTATTAGAAGTTTCTTCAGGTAGGAATGTAGTATCTCAGACACATAAGTCACAATTTTTTGTAGAATTTACTTATCCTTGCATTAAGCAGTCACTTTTCAAATGCCTATCATTGAGTTCTCCTAGGCATTGTAGCCACCAGATATTTATAGAAAAAAACCATAATGTCTGCCTTCTACGAATTTATAGAGTTGTGAGTCAGACAAACACGTGAGCAGACATTTGCATCTCAATGTACAAAAGTCTGTTGTGGAGGTTCAGGATTGCTGCAGGTGTTCATGATGCAGAGGTAAATTTCACACAGGATAGAGGTGGCAATGGAAAGCTTCATGATTGGATATTCAGGCTCTTTAGGGAAGTTCTGTAGTTAAATGTGACCAGAGCTCAGCGTGAGAAGGAGTGTATTCAAGACACAGAGATTGGGTCAAAATCTATATAGATTTTTGCATGTCATCTTAAAATCCTTTAACTTTGCCCTGTAAGCAGTAGAAATGTCAAGATTTTTAAGCTTGTTAATGATACCAACAAACATATTTTAGGTCACACTATCAGCATTGTGCAGATACACGGTTGGGCTGCACAAGAACAGAGTCAGGGAATTGTAAAATAATGGCAAATCTAGTGAACGGTGTAAGAGTATAATCAGATATGAAAAGGGGAGAAGGGGAGGGTTCTGAAAGTGAGATCATGATTTAGATTCTATGTGTGCTTTTTTAATGTAGTAAGTTAGAAAAGCTTTGACTTTCAAGAAACTGAGAAGAAAATAATGTCATAGATGAGTTTGAGGAACAAGATATTTTTTAAAAAGGTGAAGTGGTGGATGGCGCAGGAGAATTGATTACTTTAGGTTTTTGTGGTTTGCCTGTAAGTATATGAATGATGTACGTGCCAGTCTGTGTGATGTATGTATATGTAATGGTATATGTGTATGTGTATATATACATACATATATGTGTGTATGAATGAAATTTTAGAAATTAAAAGCCAGGTAAAAATGTATATATGAAATTTTAGGAGTTAAAACCTAGGTAAAAATGCATATGTAGAAGTTAGAGTAATGAAGTTGGATGAGTTCACCCAGAGAATTTCCTAGGGGGACAAGAAGAGAATTGAGGATGGATTCTTGGAATCCCCAGCAAGCACTAGATGAGCAAAATAAATAGAAGTCTGGGGCACTAGCCAAGGAGGAAGGTGGGGAGGAAGGAAACAACAGGCCATGTTGCAGTAAAAGTCTTCAGATTAAACTAACTTTAACAGGAATTTCTTTGGTACTAACCTCTTGCTAAAAGCTGCAAGTAGTTTTTCACTATCTAAAAAAACATAAAGCATCTAGATAAAAGGACATTATTGGTATTTGTGACTGTGATCCTAACAATAGGAGTTGGTTCCCAAGCCAATTTACAGGCTTTGCAGGCCTGTAAATTCACAGGATCTACAGACACTTGACACTATACGAAGGACACATATAGGAAACTCAGCCCAGTTTTGAAGGGAAGAAGTACAAAAGACCTAGGAGGGGCATCAGCATGATCATGCCTATTCCTACTACTAATTTTGACTGTTACTTATATGGGGCACCTAATGAATCAGTGATCTTGAAAATGAGGTGACACAAGTTTTCATTGGGAAGAAGGTGAAGGTAGACACAGAAAGAAATTATTGCACAAATATGGAGGTGAAAGTTCAGAATATTTGTACTGGAGAGCCTTACTTCTGTCAGAATGTAGGCAAGATTTGTGTTCTGGAAGACTGAGGTTTGGATACTTGAGGTAAAAGGACATTTGGAAAACTCATGAAGAACTGGAGGAAGTGCTAATCAGAGGTTTCCTAAAAGCTAAGGATCGAATAGCTTATTCATCAGGTTTACCATTTAAATACTAAAATTAGGAATATGACATGTTTGCTTCTTGAGTAATGATTTTTTTCATCTTGTCCATTATCCTCACAGAAGAATTTGTTCTGTTTTTAAGATATCAAACTAGTTCCAGAAACATAAGTATCCCATGTTTTCTCTCATATGTGGAATATATGGAAAAAAGATAAAAAGACATTGAAGTAAAAGGGGGACTACTAAGGATATGAAGGGGAAAAGGGGAGTAGAGAAGGGAGAGAAGAAGGAGTAATAGAAGAGGTGAATATGACCAAAGTATATCATATGCATGTATGGAAATATCATAATGAAACTGCTTATTTTGTACAGTTAATACACAGTTTGAATGTAGAATTTTTTTATAACTTTAATTTTAAAGGTTTAGGATGCAAATATATCTATCAAAAGAATGGTGATCCTTTGCACATAAGTGAACTCCTGGAGAGCTTCAAAAAGGATGCAAGAAGCTTTAAATTGAGGGCTGGAAAACATCAGCTTGAAGATGTGACCGGTGTGTTGAAAAGGTTTCTCTGTGACATTGACGACGCCCTTCTTACTAAGGAGCTCTATCCATACTGGATCTCCGCATTAGGTAATAAGTATAATTTTGAATATAACAAATGCTTTCTAACTTGATACCTCTTAAAACCTTTGATAGACTCTTGTCTTTCCTCTGTCATTATTCTACCTCTTTAGGGTATATTAGAATGAATTTTTACTCCTTCCTCATTTTCCCTAGATTCCATCTAGTGAAGATGTAAGTGCACTTAAGAAATGACCCTAGAAAAGTAATTTACTAAGCCATTCATTGGGTCATGTTAATTTTATTAAAGCCTATTTTACATGTATTAATTAAAATAGCTCCTTTCATTGAAACATTATAAGAATAAGAACATTTAACATTTAAATGCAAGCATTGTCTTAATTTTATCTTTCTAATAAAGTTTTTATTTTTCTGTTACTCATTTTTCTCCATATTTGTTATTTTATGTTATAGTGACTCCACATTTATTATATAGAACATGTTAGAAAATTATAAGCATTTTTCATGTGTTTTCATTTTAAAATAATTTTTATTCTTTTTTGCTTAGTTATTAAAATTTATTTGTGATTTGTACCATAATTACAAATCTATTTCTTATAATGTTTCAAAATCATTTTGGAAAATGGTTTTTAATTTGGCCATGTGGTATTCCCCTTTTGAAAAATAGTTTTTTTTTATTTTAAGTATTTGTTAAGTCTAAAACCTAGCTAATATATTTAAAAGGTTAACTTGTGAAATCATACCACAAAATAAAAATTTGAAAATTGTCTCAAGAATGACCCTTGTTAGTGTCAGCAAAAAGAGAGTAATATTGTTATTAAAATAAAGCATTTCAGGATTTATGTACCTAATACAGATGGGAGTCTTTTACTTGCTTCCAAATAATTCTCAAATCAGTAGAGTTAACTGATCACAGGGACAGTTGGTTGTAAAATTTCTTGGGATACAAAATGCATAATTGGATAAATGCATCCCATTAAGCCTAGTTCCCTTGTAGCACTCAATATTTTAAGATGACTTTCTTATAATTTATAACTATGAAGCTATGTGTAGTATCTGTTTATGAAGACATAAAATTTATGTTTATTGTAAAATCAGTTATCAAAAATACATAGAAAATGAATTTGTGCTGAAATTGCCAAATGAGAAATCTTCACTATTGTCATTGTATGAGGAGAAGGTAGTAGGCACATGGCAAGTATATGCCAGAAAGGAATGTGTCTGCCTTTCACTGGGATGTGAACTCTTTGAGAATTTACTTGGAGAAAACTTTGAATACTGGTTTGAATGGTTCATAAGTCTTTTCTTTTAGATTTTAGAGTGTTCAGCCAGACGCTTCAAAAGTGTGCCTGGTGTTGAATCTGATAAGCTTAAACCATAACTTACTGGGTGACCTCATGGAACACTCTTGTGCCCTGTTTACATGAGTCCAAGAATACCTTGCAGTGGCATCCCAGGGCCTGGCACCTGCTAGGCAAGCATTCTACCACTTGAATTTGAACTACGCTGGCCCCCGACATACCCTGCTTATATTTTCTGTTCACTTGAAATATTTTGAGTTTTGCTTTCCAATTGCTTGTCATTATTTTAAAATGTCAACAAGAATGGGTATGTATAGCAGTATTAATTAATTTTTTTTGAAAAAATGTAATTATCCCTACAGTCATAAACTGGATGGCATAAGGACAAATGTTTGGATTATACTAGGGATAATAAATAATTAATTTCCAGTATAGTTTTTTAATGAAATTTGGATACATTCCCTTCTTGTTTTTATAGTCATCTACTAAGGCACTTAAGTTGATATGACTGTGTTTACTTTTACAGATATTATGTGCAGCCTAAATTAGTACAAAACAGTTATCATTTGCAATTTTAGATAAAAGTATACTTGAAAATGTATCTTACATCCCCAAGGATCCTAATGTCCTTCAAAATTGACAGTATACTTTTAAGGAAACATTAATGTGTTATGTACTACTAACTCTTGGAAAAAGTAGCAGGAAATGAAGAGGTCTAGTTTCCAAAGATTGTTGGGAATGGAAAGGGAATACATAAGCCTGGTCCACTTGAGTTACACAGTCAGCACAGCCATTTATTTGAAGAATGAGGGTATTTCCTATGTTAAGCTAGAGGCTTAGACTGAAGCACCACTATATACTTCCTAGATTATAGAACTTTCAAGGTTCCTATTTGTAGTTACTCCAGGGATTTGACTTCTAGAATTAAGAGAATGAAGGTAGTTCTTTCTCATTTTCCTCTTCATGGATCAATTAATTTTTGTTCATAACAAAGGCATCATCTTCAGGGTCTGGGTATTAAGACGTGTATGTGACTTCTTTCATTGTCCCCTCATCTTTTCAAAAGATTTGAAGTAGCAGGGCTACTTTGAAGCCTTATTGTAACACTTACTATAATATACTTGTAACTGTTATTTTATAATAATATTGAAAGGCAAATGTATAATATAAGTGATTACTTTAAGCCTTAATGTTGTTATTTTCCTCCAGATACTCAAGAAGACAAGGAAAGAACTAAAAAATACGGAGCATTTATACGTACTCTTCCGGGGGTCAACCGAGCAACCCTCGCAGCTATAATTGAACATCTTTATAGGTGGGTGGATTCATGAATTTCTCTAGACATCTCAAACATGACAGTTAGTCATTATTTCTTAAAGCTATGTGGCCAACCTTCTACATGTGACTGTGAACCTTTTACTCTATCTTAAAAGAACTACTACTTTAGCCTTTTCTGTAATTAGGGCATATTTACAGTTAAATAGCACTGAAGAATTTCTTAAATGTATCAGAAATAATCATGCACACATTCTCAAATGCATCAAGTGTAGAAGAATTTTAAAGCTTATTTGGGTGGGAGTTGGAGAAGGAAGGAATGATTTTTTTGTTCCATTATATATACATATACTCTATTTAATATATGCTCTCTCTGCCTAAGATATGTAGAGAGAATTTTTAATATAGAGAGTTTTACAGCATGTGGTTTGAAGTTATAGAAGAGAACTGAGTGATTCCTTTGTATATTGAGGGACAAATTCTATAACAGGAGCCTGTGACCGTAATGTTTTCTTTTGGAGAACTCTTTATAAACTCTTATTTCTTTATTATCAGTTTACATCTTACCTGACCCCTGATGTTTTGACATCAGCTTGTTGATCAGATGAGGAAATTTTAAAAGTCAAAAATGTCAGGAGAAGGTCAGTGTAGCTGTCTTAATTCTTGCCTCCTATGAGGGAAGAATTCAGATGGAAATGTAATAAAAGTATTGTTTATTAGGAAAAGAATATACTTTCAGTAGGCTGAAAGCAGATGGTCTCTAGGGTAAGAAGACATTGTTAGCCTTTGGCATTGGAGTTTTTGAAATTGTCCAAGACAAATTCCTAGCCTCAGGTCCAGCTGAGGTCACAGAATCAGGAAGCTAGAAGTTATGAAAATTATGTACAAATGATGGACTCCTGTGACCTGTCCCCCCAGGGTATGGTTTATGGGCCTGGGTCTTTGTTTTGTTAAATCGAAGATCTATTGTTCTAGGAGCTATTTGTTGTAGACCCACTTTAAGCTTAAATACAGGCTTTCTTTAATCTTTAGGTGAGTGGGGGAACTCTAAAACTTTGTGACTTCTCCTGACCTGTGTGGGCTATTTTGATCTTAACAGAGAGTCACCTGAAAGCTGGAAAGTTTAATTATAGAGGTTTCTGTCGGAGACCTTGTGATCTCTTCCTCCCATGGTCACCACTTACTTGTACTTGCTACCTAACATTTTAACCCCCTCAAGAATGAGAGACCTTGAAGAATATTCCCTGTGTTTATCCCTATTGCTCATGCTAACTGCTACCTATCAAAAAACATTTTCTCTGTCAGGGCATCAAGGTCCCTTTGCATTTGGAAGGCGGTGAGGATTATAACAGTGACTTGAAAATCAGAAGGATGAGAATGTTTGAAAATAACCTTTAAGTTAAAAGTAAAGATTGGTTTGTGTGTACTGATTTTAGCAAGAGTTGTTACAAAAGCTTTAATATGTGTAAATTTTGCATAATGAATATCTTGTGGCTTTCCACATAAATGGATACTTTGAATAAACTTCTATACAGCTGTGGGGTCTAGATTTAGAAATATTCCATATGTGTTGTCTTTTCTCTTTATCTTTTCCAACCAGTGGTTTTCATGAATGTAAACTCTATTATTGTAAAGATGATTTTTTTTCCCTTTTTTTTTTGTTTTCTTTTTGGTTCTGAGGATTGTACATGCTGAGTAAGTGCTCTATGATTGAGCTGTATCCCCAGCCTATAAAACTGATAGTCTTATTACTGCCTCACACAAATATAATTTATGAAATATTGGGACAAATTTTAATACAGAGATTTTAGTATGCAGCCTGGAATTTTAATGAGAGAATGTGTGATTCATTGTGTGTTCAAATCCAGGGAATGTTCCAGTACTTCAAATTCATAGAGACATATGAGCTGGGTATAAAAAAAGATCAGTGTGAAGTCCTGAGCAGTGATGTGAACCTGTAGTTCCAGCTACTCAGGAGACTGAGGCAGGATTGCTTGAGCCCAGGAGTTCAAAGACCAGTCTAGATACTATCCTGGGCAGCATAATGAGACCCTGTCTTTACAAAAAAATAAAGATAAGAAATAAGTACAAGAAATGAGTGGAAAATATCTTCTTGTGAGACATAGGCGTAATAGGAAATGAGATAATTTTAGAATTGGCTGGCAGGGGATTGTAAAAGACTTTGTATGTCATGTAGAAGCATTTAAATTTTATTCCTTTAAATGATAAGAATGATTAATCAAGTCTGTCTTAGCATAGTAGTCCCTGTGTTGGGATTGGATGGGGAGAAGCAGGGGGACTAATTAGGGAACAGCTTCCCTGGGCTTCTGATGAGAACACCTGAGCAAGGAGAGACTGAGTAAGCTGATTATGGAACAATTGGGACACCCCACGTCTGGGACAAAAAAGTAAAGGAAGTGAATTATATTATACCTCGCTTACTCTATTAGTTAAGGCAGTCCCAGAAACTAAAGATACAAGAGGTGAGGAGAGCCAGAAATCTTAAGAAAGGCAAGATGTTTCATAGTGCCATCAGAAGTTTGAATGGTCAGTTTAGATAGGGTCAGGAAGGCAATTCCTAAAAGATCACTTCTGCCATTAGTAAGATCCACTGAATCCCACTCACCAGGTGATATTTCTTATGCACTACAGTGTGATTAAAGCAAAAGTCTCTGTGAGGTGCTGAGATTCAAACAACTCAGGCAGACAGGAGATACTTTTTTCTGGATATTTACAGTCCAGTGCAATAAAAGTACAGAAGTCATTTTGAGAGAGATTTCTGCAATTTTTACATCCTCCTGTATTAAATTCCAATTCCTTTTGCATCGTGTAAATTGTATATGATGATGGCACTTGCTTTATCTGTCTGTGCTGTGTAATTTTGCATTTTATTATGGATTTCTTACATTATCATATATATTACTATCATGTTTACCTACTTTTCCTTTTAACTACTAGAATCTGTCTTTTGTATAGACACCTAGCTCATGCTTGGTATTCTTTTAAGGGTGTTTGGTTTCTTTCTTAGTATATACTTGTAAATTTTCAAAATGTAATTAAATAGGTAGTCAAGGAGCAGCTCTTATATTCACAGCCAGTGACAAGTAAAGTAGAGACCATTAACAGATATTTCCACTTGGAGGTCCCATCTACTGCATGTTTATCATTGTAACTTTCTTTTCTTAGGGTGATGGCTATAGTTTTTCTTTTTAAAAAAGTCACTTTGGAACATAAATGTGTGAACACTTTAAATGCTCGTTATAAAACCCAGAGGTTGCAACTACTGATTAGAAGGGTTGATTTATTTTTTCATATTTTTTCAGTTTTACAGGCATTCTTAGCTGTAGCCAAGAAAAGTGTAGTTTTATTTTTAAGTGTTTGCTTTCTGAAATATTATAATATATTTTGAATAATCATACAAATATATGCTGTCAGGTATTCTCTCTTACCTAGTAAGCACTTTCTGAAAAATTTAGCCCAGCCTTGAATCTGAAATGTGGGATTCTGTACCCTATGTCTAATAACACATCCTTATTGCTTTGTTTCCTGCTTACCTCCTTTCATTTATGTTGTAGACCAGCAAGGCATTTCACACATTTTTATGCTTTGGCCCAGGTTGCTTCATTGTCTGGAACTGTTTGGATGTGGTTAGTCTATCCTCTAAATAAACATCAAGTTTTGCTTTGTATCATGTGCTGGTCTCTTTAACAGTATATATATATTTTTCTGTTCTGCTAGACTATAAGCTACTCAGAGGAAGGAACCATCTTTCTTTAAATTACTACTATACCTTTTATATTAAAGAACTTCAATATGTGTGTGTTTAAAAATGGTGAATAAATATTTTGGCTTACAGTTCTATGAAATTTCCAAATAGAAGTATATCATCATGAGGTGTCCTTTTCTCTGACAGGGTTCAGAAATGCTCAGAAATCAATCATATGAACGCCCATAATTTGGCCTTGGTCTTTTCATCCTGTTTGTTTCAAACTAAGGGACAAACTAGTGAAGAAGTGAATGTAATCGAGGACCTGATTAATAATTATGTTGAAATATTTGAGGTAAATATTTTACATCCTGTCCTTGTTAAAATGGTATTGATGTTGCCGTTTGCAAAGAAACATGCATAGTTTAGGATTTTATTATTCAGTCTTTATGAATATTTAGAAATAGACAACATAAAGGATATATTTTCTTTATGTTTTTAGATATAAATAGCTTTCTAAGCTATGTCATTCATTTAAATTTGGTTGCTTTTAAGGGTTTATTTTAACCATCTGTTATCTGTTGGATAGAATAGTAATATTTACAGAGTTTGTGTGTATGTGTGTGTTTTTCTCACTATGTGTATGCATTAAGTATATCTACTTAGAGGTGTGAAGTTATGAATTTAACAAATATAGTAATAAACACCAAGCTGTTAAATTCTTCAACTTGAAAGCATTTTGAGGTTTTTTTTTTCCAATTGCACCACCAGCTGTAAAAAAAAAAAACTGAAATATTACTCTAGGGTTTTCATTAAGTCATTACTGTTTGAATTATTTGACTTTTAAATATGATATTTTGTGAAGGTAGTATTTTCATGTTTTATTAATAAACTACTAGGATAGTGATGCTTTTGTAGTTGATGTAAGTGAAGAATAAAGGAAATAAGTCCAGGATTTGAACAAGGTGGGTCTGGGTCAGTGGTCCAGCTGTATCATGTAACTACCTCTGACATCTCAGTTTTGTTACACTTTTGAGCATCCTATTAAATAACCCATTCAATGGTGTTCCAGGAGTTTCTTGTTTTCTGGCAGTGTGGCTATACCAGATGAAGCCAAGCAGGTTAATGTGATGTTACCATCTGTAGAGTTCTGATGTTCTTCTTATAATAACTTATTGCAAGATTCCGTAACAAAGGGAGACGAACTATTGAACTGAAATTAAAATGTTTCTACTTTAATTCATAGAGGAATGGACACCAGAGTTAGGTTTTCTTTGTTCTTTAATTTCATCTTTACTTCTTCCTGTTTGTCCACTGTATTTGATCATAGCAGCTGCTTTACAGGAATCTGATTCTGAGAAAAAAATATTCTGTGGCTTTGCATGCTGTCTTTATTTTCTAGTCCTGTACCATTTCATTAATAAAACTACTTTATGTAAACCCTAGTGGTTTAATAAGCACTTAATGAACATTTTGGTTTGAGAAATGGGTCTTGAGAACTTTCAGGACCAGTCAACAGCCCTTTGTTTCTTAAATGTTCTTATCCTTGAGGCATCCATGGGTGGAATCTGCAGCCTGAGAAATATCTTAACACATGTTCTGAACTTACTAGGCTCGACTTGTTGGCTTTATTTCTGCCTTCGCTGTGTGGGCCCATGCTGATTAAGATGGTCATTCTCATTGGTTTTTAACTTGTTGATATTTAAATTCCTAAAGACTTATGTGAGGATGAGTACCATCACCCCCCTATATTCTACATTATTAGAATGTCCCAAATTATATTTTAAACAGGTTAAAGAAGACCAAGTCAAACAAATGGACATAGAAAATAGCTTTATTACCAAGTGGAAAGACACTCAAGTGAGTAGTAATAGTTAGATCTCTAAAGAATTAAAGAAAAACAAAAACTTCTTTTGTAAATAAAGACATTTGTTGTGTGTATTTTCAAGTTCCTATTTGAAGCAGAGTAGAAGTAATGATTTAAGAAAAAAAGGATCTTGGTAAAAAAAATAATGGGCTAATTCTGCACCCTGATACATACATGCAAAATATGTTAGTATAATTTTTTAACAAATAGAAGGAATATCAGTTTTATTTATTGATCTGTTTGAAGAAAACACTATTGGAAATGGCACTGAATTTTAAAGGAAGCATTTAAAGCCAAAGAAACACTGCAATAAAGTGCAAATTCAGACAGCATAATTATTTTCTCCATTACAATTTTGAAAAAACAAATCATTTCTTACATGCTTTTGCTCTGCATGCTCTCAGATGATTATATTGAGATATTTCCTAATGTGATATTTGTAACGCCTGCTAATTTTGTCTTTAGTCAATTTTTCTAAATCCTGTCTTTTCTCAGTCATATTTTATTGGATTTATGTGTTCATGTTATACTGTGCTTTTGTGGGGTACCTTTCCATATTTGATGAATATGCACTGGATCTTCTTAAGGTTGATTAGTAATCATCTTCCAGTAACTAGGAATTATGCTGTATTTAGGGAATCTCTGTAAATAATAAAAATGGGTCAAACATACTCTTTTTACAGTTATATTTAGATAATGAGGCAAATTCCTCCTTATTAGTCATACCCTAAATTTGTGTTAGTCCTAAAATATCTAATTGTAATTAGAGGAATTGTTGGAGCCATCATTCCATATGAAAGAGATGAAGGGCTGTTTAGTTCCTTAGTGCTAATGCTATGGTTTTAATTATGTAACAAATTGTTTCCTCCATTTTGAGTCAAAATAATTACTGCAACTTCCAGAGAAGTTAACTTTAACACTAAACTTTCTGGTTCATTATCAATTTTTTAAAATTTTTCACTTTTGTGACAGTATTTTAGTCCTGAAATGAAGGATTCTATGAAGGGTGAGATACCAGTAATCTTTGACAGGATTATCTATATTGTTACTAAAGTATGAATATATCCTTTTGTAAACTGTTTATCTTTTATATTCATATTACAGTAAAGACATGCTTTGAAATTCAGTATAAGTAAAAATTAGGAAATATTCTTTGTAAAGTATAGTAATTGAGAAAAAAAGGGAGTTTGGAAAAATTGGTTCTTTTGTTTGATTTTTTTCTTCATTCAAAATTCTCCTCTGGAGTTTATTCTGACAGTTTCTCTGTTGTTACCTTCATTTGAATATCTTAGCTATATTCCTTTTCAGCTTTATTCTGAGTTCTTTGTGCTTGCTTTTTTAATTTTTAAAATGTGTCCTTCCTGGAGTGTTATTTATGTAAATAGTGAAAAGTGAAAATATCAACTGAATCTTTTTCTTCATAGAATTTTTGTAGAAAGAAAAGTGAGAAAGAAAAAATGGAAATAGACTTTTTTGTACCTGTAGTCACATATTAATTAACAATGCTTCATCAAAGTATGTTTTTAAATATTTCCTCCACCTATGGTACCCATCAGATTGTGCTGGGGCAAATTTAACTTCAAAATAACTGTTTCTCCATTATCATCATTTTAAAAGTATTGGGTGACTGACATTATATAACTTAAGTGAATTTCTGAAAACTACTCAAAATATTTTTCATGGATTTGTTTGATTCTTTGTTAACCTTATCCATTATTCTTTTGATTTGCATAGTGATTTCTTATGTTTTTTTAAGTTTTGATTTGTATCTTATTTGCTTAGTCTGTCTTTTGGAATATTGTGACCCAAATAACTGTTCTGAAATGCTTGGTCAAAGATAGATAAAAATGTATGCTTATTTTCTGCCTTATTCTATCATTTCACTTATTTTTCTCTTACTACTTTCACTTTATTTGTTGTTTTAATACATCTCTGAACTAATTTATCTTCCAGTTCCAATATTTTGATAAATCGTCTTTTGGAAAATTTAGTAAGTAGTTTTTTTTTTTTTCTCTGAGGAGAAGGAAGAGGTTTGAGAAAGGGTCTCCCTATGAAGCTCAGACTGGCCTTGAACACATAATCCTTCTGCCTCACATCTCTGAGAGCTGGATACAGGCATTTACCACCACACCAACAGCAAGACTATTTTGTCTATTAATTATTGATATTTGCACATTGTTGTTTGGACCAAAATCACATTTTTGCTCCTCATTTCCTTAATCCTGTTAAGGTACATGGTAATGGTTCTGACCATTGCTATGTTCAAAGGCAGCTCGTTTCCATTATAGCCAGATCCATCATAATTACATTGTGACTATTGTTGCTGTTTTGAACATTTGTGTATATTCCTTGTCTTTTCTCAATTATATCTTGAATGTACATCATGCTTGTGAACAAAGGAATTATGCTGATTTCATTGTCATAAATATTGAGAAATGTGACTTAAGATTTTGTAACAGTATTAAGTATCGTGTGTGTCTTGTGACATACTGATATGTGCTGCCTTTACATCTTCCCTTTCTAGGTTTCTCAGGCTGGAGATTTACTAATTGAAGTATATGTAGAAAGGAAGGAACCTGACTGTAGTATTATAATTCGGGTGAGTCCTAAAAAATGATGTAAAGAGTACTGTTGAAAATCATAAGTGTTGGCATAAATTAATATTTTGAATTTCCAAGTATTTCTTGTATTTTATGTTACCTCTCCACTTGAAACAATTACTGAAAACAGTGATTGAATTTTCTTGCCAATATGCTCTGGGAATTCTATATTTTACTCATTTGAAAGAGAACATCTTATATAATTTAGGTTACAGTTAGGATTTCCTTAGGTTCTAGAAAATTGCTTGAGCTCAGATATGTGCTTCTCCCTTTCCTAACATCTTAGTATTAGGCAAGTTATTTACCTTTCCTCGGCCTTGGTTTTCTCACTTAAGAACTAGGGAGGATTACCATATTTACATCGTATCATTGATGGAAGGATTCATTAATCTAATGCATGTAAATCAGTTAGCAAATTGCTCTGCACAATAGTGTTTGATAAGTAGCTATTGCTATTATTACTATTATTATGAGTTGCCCATTTCATTACATTTATTTCTTGGGTGATATCCCAACTTGATAGGATTGGAAACTGGAAATTAAAATAATTAAGGTCAGTTCAAACCTGAGCATCACAATCCAAACTTGATGCTCATTGTACCGATCTGTATATTCCATAGGGCAATGAATTCCTAAATGCAGAGCTCTAGGTGTGTTTCAGGCAGATCTTGGTTTCTCCTGGGGCTAGGATATAGGGTTTCCATTTTCCTACTTCAAACCAAGACAGTCCTTCCTGCTTATTTTGCAAGTTTGGTTTCTCACTAATTATTATTTATTTTAGAAAGGGCTATACTTTCAAAACTTTTAGATCAATGCAGATCAAAAGCATTAGTGAAATAATTCATCCACTGTTTTTATTGATTGACGTTCCCAACTTTTACCAAATGCCAAGATCTTTTCAAAATTTCATTTCATTGAGCATTTCTAAACAGAAAACAGGGGACTTCGTTGGGTAATTAATAGATTTCCCCTAAAAAACAAGCCTTAAATTCCATTGACTAAAAGAGTTAGGTAGTATAAGTTACCTATAGTGAAAGATGTTTTTGGTTATTTATATACATGCAGTAGTAGTCTTGTGAATATGTTCCTTTCCTAAGAAATTTTTAAATAGGAATATACTTTTACAAAAAACATGCAAACCAAGCTGTGTTTTCAGTATTCTAATTCTTAAAGAATTTTTTAAAAATTTATTGGCCACTATCACTAAATGCTAACTGAAGAAAGCCATCTTGGTTTTAGTCAGCATGCATTCCAGATTGCCAAAAAACAAAAATAAGAAGAAACACATCAAAACCTCCAAAGTCTCTGAAAAGACTTTGCGCAATGCGCTTATGCCTCTGGCTTTGGGTCTCTTATGCACCTGGGCCCCAAAGCTGGTACTACAGATTCTGCCCTACACCCTGAAACACTGGCTCCAGGACACCTCCGTATCCTACCATCTGTTACTTGGCAAGGCGATGCACACCACAGCCTACCAAGACCCTGGGGCTTCTTGGCATGATAGAGAGCATTCAATTGACAGTGTATAATTTAGGGCCCAGGCTGAATAAACCAAGTCCCTCTGTACTCTTGATTGTAGAACCAACAAGTTAAAAGTCTTACTCAGAGAGATTATTATATTTGTTGTCTGGTGAATGTCTTTCTGTATGTGACTAGGTATAGCTTTCCTTTCCTGATTATGTCTATACTGTAATATCCCTTTTCATTTACATTAAAAGGTGCTACATCTTATGGACAAGATCTGAAGATGCTGTTTCCTTTTTGTGCTTGGAAAAGCTAGTTTTACCCATATTAGAAAGAGACTTTGGGGGTACTGTTAGATGAGAGTTTTATTGCCCTAGCATAGGCAACTTCTGTGTCTGACATATCTGCTGAAGAACTATTGGTTCTCTTATAGATATCTCCTGTGATGGAAGCAGAAGAATTAACTAATGACATATTAGCAATAAAAAACATCATCCCTACAAAAGGTGATATCTGGGCCACATTTGAAGTCATTGAAAATGAAGAGCTAGGTAAGTTTTTCATGACAGGAATTCTTCAGGTCATTATAGTGCAAAAAATATTGTTTGTGGTGATGAGTCATTTATACTATTTTATGTTTTTCTAAAGATTAAGATCTCATTGTGAGTTCTCTTCAAATGTAGTGCCTGTCTCGATATATGCTGCAACTACTTGAGTTGCCTTCCTATGATTTTACTCTTCAAAATTATTACCTTATTTTATTAACTATAAAATATAAAGTGTAAAGCATTAGGGATCTCTGTTGTTGCCTCATGAAAAAAGACCCTGATTTATAAGGATAAGCAATTGATTTACAACAATATACTAAATGTCCCTGCCACCATCCTCCATATCCTGATATGCCATTTATTTAATAAGAATGAGGAATGATTATTTAAGATCATCAGTTATTCTTAAAAAATAATTTGTTTCAATCCCAGCAGAAACTTCTCTTTTGCCTTTCTTATTTTCCTCTATCTTTAGTGTATCAGATATTTTGTCATCTTTCATTCCAAAGAAACTGAAGGATAAAAAGACCTTTTAAGACACCTTGACTACCAAGTGCTGACTGAATAAGCTTAACATTTTAGTGACACCTTTTCATGTTAAAGACTCTAGGAAAAAAAGTAAGGCTCAGAATATCTTTGTACCTTGACCATCTGTCTAACTGACACCTACTAAGGTCTTGGGACCCTTTCAAGTATAGCTGTCAAACTGCCAAAAGGAAGACCTTGCCACCACAATCTCAAGATAAAATTAAAATTCATTGTGGAAATACCCTATGATCCATTTTTAGGAGTATTGTAATCAGTATTAGAGTGAAATGGGATTATCAAGTGCTTTGTTTTTCATTTGTCCATCTTGATATTTTTCTTTTTGAAGATTTAATTGTATTAAAATGTTTCCTTTTTCAATATACATTGCAAGATCCAGTGGCCCTAGTGCTTGGGTTTTTGCTCTAGTTGGGCAAGTCTTGATGGCTCCTGTGACCCCCAACTGTGAGTCCAGGAGATGTACTTCAGGCTTCACTTTCCTGACCTTCCTGAGGCATTGATTGTTAATGACCTTTCCTTTCTCCTTTGATGAGCTTTTCTCCATTTTCACTACTGCCTGGATACTCTTCTTGATTCTTTAATCATTTCGTCTCATTTGTAGCTGCTGCTGCTTTCATATACCGCCCAAATGTTGGGTTTCCCCGGCTCTAATTACTACTTTTTGCAGTCTTTTGTCATTTTATATGTTCTTCATGGATAATCTCTTCCATCCTATGCTCCACTTACATGTGTAAGCTGATATCTCCCATGTATAGCTTTGTACATCCCCCACTGGCTCTCCTGATCACCTCCTTTAAAAATCCAGACTCGGAGCTTCACTGCATCTTGTCTCATCTCTTCTTGCAGTGCTTAGCACCTGATTTGTATTCCTGTGTCTTAACAGAAGTTTCTTGGCAGGAAGTAGGGATTCTGTCTATTGTTGTTTTGTTTTGTTTTGTTTTTTATTTTAGTCTACAGTGTCCAGTATAGTGCATAGTATATGATAGTCATATGATTAAAATCTCTTAAATAAATAAAGCAAAATAGTATATGATGGTATAGTACAGAAGTGATCATCTTTTGATTTTTCTTTCTTCTTTAGAATAGGGGCTACATTACCAGCTTTATCACATTTATGAGTAAAACATGACTGTTGTCATTATTACAGAATTAACTTTCTAAATCACAGATTAGATTAGGAAACACTGTTTATGAAATTTCCTTTTAGAAAATCAAGGGATATTCACCTGAAAATGACTAATTACTGAACTGCATGTGATAATTAGCAACTCACATATGCTAAGGCTGAATTGGGCTTTTTTTGTTGTTGTTGGTACTGTTGCCCTTTTTGTCTAATAAAAAGGAAAAAAGTTATCTTAATGAAGATATAATAGGACTAGGAGACAGCAAATTATTTTTATATCTGAACCATGTTCACCAAGAAATAATAGATTCAGAGTTAAGAATTCTAATTTAGCATGGACATACTGTTTGGGCAACTGAATACATAGGAAATGTCAGCAAAGAAAAGTTTATATGTTTTTTCACTCTTTCTAGAGGAACAATGGTGGAAGGCAATAAAGTGCCTGTGCTTATGTTGGTTTATTGAAGCAGATGGATCCTAAGTGTAACCTAACATTCTGAAATGTTCAAAACTTCATTTCTAGGAACATGCAGAGGAGATAATGTGAAATATAAGATACATAGGTAGTCATACCATTATATTTGATAGGAGTAATGTCAGCAGGCAACTGGTAAGTTTTCTGGTGTAAAGATTAACCCTCCAAATAATGAAACGGTCAAGAATGAATAAATTAATAAGTGGATAAATAAGTATGTAAACCAGAATGCTAAATTTTATTTTATTATAGTATCTGTAAATTTTAAAGAAGTTCTTTATTCTGTAATATCAAGTGTCCCATATCAAGTGCCCTTTTGTGTAACAAATATTCCATAAAGTTCCCTTTATTATTCTGGGTAACCTATATTTATTTTTAAAATGTGAATAATACCACATATTATAAAAATAAGAGGAACATATGCATTATAGCCTATGTAATATATACATGCCTATTGCATATTTATTTAAAAATGATAAATATAGATTTTTAAATCTATAAATGGAATCACCATAGATGTGACAGTTACAAATGCAGCCTGATGTAAGCATGTCAGTTTTGTGACTCAAACAGCAGTGACAACATTTGCCACTGGCGAAATAAATAATTCTTAAAAAGTACTTGCTAAAATAAAGCACACTCTCTATCTGGTAGTCAGAAGTTTACATCTGTATCCATGCAAAATCATTTATTTTTGGTATTTTTATTTTGTATTACTACCTTATAGAATATACAAAGTTGAGTTAGAGTCTAGGCTCAATGAATTCTAAATATATTATCCCTCTAAGTGAATTTCCAGTGAGGCATTTGAAATTCCTACTGGGTAGAGAACAAATATTTCTTATCTCACTTCTTGAAGGATGCCAGGCATATTTGATTCAGTTCCACCTATTCTTAGGGCAAGCTCAAACCTACCACGGGAGAGTATGTTACTTGGCTTCTCATCACTGTGAAAAACAGTTAAAATAAATCAACTTATAAGGAGAAAACGTTTTTCTTTGGCACACAGTTTCAGAAACTTTAGTCCATGGCTGTTTGGACTAAACAGCCCATGGCAGAACAGTATATCATGATGGGTGTATATAGTAAAGGAATTCTGTTCACTTCATTGCACCTGGGATGCAAAAAGACAGTAAAGGACTGGGATCTCGAAATCCCCCTTCAAGAATATGCTCTCAGTGACCTAACTTCCTTCCACTAGACTCTATCCCCTCAGTTCTGCTGCCTCTCAACAACACAGGATTGTGATCAGGTCTTCAACAACACATAGCCTTTTAGAAGACATTCAGGGTCCAATTTAAAGTATTCCACTCCTAGCCCTCAATCTCACAATGCAAAATTCATAGCTACTGTGCTACTGAAGATCTGTTTATTTTTAATTACAATTATTTCCAGCTCTTCTCCTCTCACTGACACATAAAATGCCATTGCCTTCTACTTATGTGGAAGGACAGAGAAAGACTTGTACAGCTCTAAGTTAGCACTAAAAATTTGATTAGGGAAGTCCTAATTGGAAAACCTGTATCATTACTACCAGAAATTTAAAGGCAACATCTGTTGCTTTAGGTGGAAAATCACTATTGAACAAGGGAAGTCAGGTTCATTCTTTGCACAAGATTTTAAACAATTAATAAAATTGTGTTTTATCTAGGTGGAGAACCACCTGTGTAACCAGTTTTTCCCAAAGAACTACATTGAATTTTTAGTAGTATCCATTCTGTAGATAGTATGCAAAGGAGTTATTTATTTCTCTATGATGTCTTAATGCCAGATGACTTAGTGTGTAATCTGCAATGACACGTGGTTGTAAATTATAACTATCACTGCAAATTTATTTGTAGGGATTTATATTCTTAACAATGTTCTGTGGCTCGGTTTTTCCTGTTCTCCCTTTCTTAAGATGAAAATTAGAAGGTAACACACATACACAGGAAAGCAATGCTGAGTCAGCTCCCTGTATAGCTATCCTTATCTCCACTAGCAAAAACCCTTGGTCCTTCCTATTATTGCTTATACTCTCTCTTCAACAAAATTAGAGATAAGGGC